AGCTCTGATTGACAAGCCAAGGCTCGCGCAGGGGGCACATGCTGGGCGCTGTGGAATTTTCCACAGGCCTTGTCTGCTTGTCTGCGCATGACCAAACTTAACTCTTGTGTTGCCAGCAGACACTTAAAATTTGGTCCGGACACAAACTAAAAACCACTCCACCACAAACAGTGAAGGAGGGAATCGCATAAGTTGAAACATGATCATGTTATATGAAGCGTGTATACGTGAATCAGTGTAACTCAAAACCATGTAACTGGGGGTCTGACTGTAACCTCAGGGTGCTTGTACATGTGACAGGGGTTTAGTCCTTAGGGTTGCGTTCTATGCCCCCTAAATTGAAATGGTAGGTTCTTAATTGAAACCCACTGTTTCAATTTAGGGGGTTTATTTTTCTGTTACTGTTATAGCCGGGGGCCTTAGGTAGGTAATGCTCATACTCAGAAAGTCTTGCAGATCCCTGAGAAAGTGCTGGAGCGCTTAACTGTCTCCTTTTACAGAGCATTCCTCAGCTTCAGCTTTTTCCCATAAAATGTCATGTCATCACGCCTCTATAATTGCAAGCATTTGATATAAGAAATGTTAAGTCATGTGACCTCGGTTAGAAGAGGAGGAATTTCACCACTGCTAAAGAAATGAACCTAGTAACATCTCAGGTTTCCTGCATAATTGTTTTCCTTATGCTGGGCCTTCGTGAAGTTTTGCTAACCCGGAGCACCCAAAAAATGACTTAGGAGCCTTCAAAAAGGAGACTTGTAATAAAAAGTGTCCAGAGGTATGCCTTGAAGCCCCACCTGAGATCGGGGCCCATCATACTAAACATCATAAAAGCTCATCACTAGAAACAAGCTTTTCAAGCAGAGATAAAACAGACAGGGGAAGAGGAACAGAAATGGTGTTATTCTCATTTTACAGAGGCATAGAAAGATGACAGGTATGTCCATAATACAGCATGGGATAGAGATACCCAAGCATAGGGGTACTGGTACATTGTGGTGAGACTGCTTCTCCTGCCTACATGAGTTCAGCTCTTTTTGCGCTATGCAGTGTAAGCATGTCCTACATGACTTGCCCAACATCCCAGGTATGTCCTTAGCATGTGAGACCACATTTCCCAAGGCCCCGCTCCATCTTCTAATATCACTTTGTTCTTCAGAACGACTTGGGAACACATGGAGAGAACATCCCTCAGCTGGAAGGCGGGGGCTGTTTGCAAACTGGGACCATGCTGTTTGCTTTTCCTTATTATCCCAGTGGAACTGGTCTGAGGAAGACAGCAGGGCACCCACAAACGGCAGGACTGTCCTCAGAGCTACCCCGCCATGCCCTGTCTCCGACGAGTCACAGTAAACTGCTACACTGCACCTTCCTTCCCAAAAACAACTTGGTAAAGAAGGAAATTGCAGGAGGGGTGGGGAGAACATGCTGCAGGCTGATGCAGCAAGGTGAGTGTGTGCAGAAAGATGGGCAGCAGTGCCGGTGAAGAGACAGCTGTTTTTCTGACTGAAAAGGTGAGGGTGCCAGCACCGCACCAGCATCCCCTGAGCACAATGAGGGTTGGGAGATTTCCAACAAGGATGAGCAGGGCACAGAGGAGGAGCGGGAGAACAGCACAGGGAGATGCCTAGACCGCTGATACCAATTTTGGTGCCTGGCCAAAAACCTGGCAACGGCTTTTTTCACAAACAAGGCCCTTATTAAAGCAAAGATAAAAACTGGAATGTGACAATGACCTGCTTTGTCAGCAAGACAGTAGTCAAAATGAGGGGTCTGCTTTCAATTGCTTACGGACCAGTTTTCTTGATTATCTGATATTGAGGTATGAAGTCACAGACGTGGCAGTGATTAGCTTCCCATATTTACTAGCATTAAAGACACAAGAATGCAGAGAAGGAAGATTATTCAGTGGATTGATGGAGCAACATCCCCTTAATTCAAACCACTCATTTTTGTTCCAGTAACTGCATCATAAACGGAAGAAAGTGCAGCCAGTCTTCTGAAAGCAGCTTGCATTGAAACAGCCAGCTAACCAGAACTGCCCTTTTACAACTGGTATCAAATTTACTTCATAGTAATTCTTAGTCCCTGATTCAGAGTTACAACCTCTTGTGCTGGGAAGCTGGAGAGCTTACTGTTTCCGCCATTCTGCTCTGGTGAGTTTTTCAGTCACCCACGTGTTAGGATCCTACTGCAGGCAGGTGCCAACAGCTTGATTTCTTCGCTCCCTCTTTTCCAAGGTGATCCAAGTCCTTGCCATGCTTCTTTGCTGAAGAAAATAGAATTTGCCTTCCGACCAACAGAAAAGAAAGCCTTTAGGGCTGGCAGACCAAAATCTTTCCAGAAAGTGGATTCTAGGGCGGAGATTTAAAAAAAAAGGGGTGGGGGCTTCACAATTCTGACAATCAAAGAGGAAAAGTCTAGACTGTTAAACAGGATGTCTGATCACCTCCGAAGGCAGAAGGTATAAGCTACCCAACTGGACAAACTACTGCCCAAAGCATGATCCCAGCCTCCTATCAGCTCATTGTACAACCCTACAACCAAACCATGTAAAGGCTCCTGAGTTCTATAATATAGAGGAGTTTCTTAATGCTATCCCAGTGAATGACATTTATTAAAGGCAGTGATGTAGGGGGTGCACTATAGGACTGCTTATGCTGGCCCTGTGCAGCACCGGATCCCAGGGTATTCTCCCTCAGCCATTGGCAAGCTCCTTATTGTTCCTGACATTGCCCAGTACTTGGAGCAATACATCAGGTCAGTCCACCCTCTACAACACCAGAGCAGTGTATTATAGCTGTGCACTAAGAAGAGAAGTGTGCCAGCAGCTGCTAAGTGATTTGCCCAAGAATATGCAGCAGGTCAGTGCCAGAGCTAAGATCGCTTGACACCAGCCTTCCAGTCTGTCCATTGCACCGCACTCCTCCTCCCTTGCTCAGTCAATGATTGTTTACCCACTTAAAGGAATACCCTGCCGTTCTCATTGGCCACCATTGCAGCTATATCCAGTCCAGCCAAAGCTGATCTTCAGCAGTGTCCCTGGGGGGCTCGGTTGAAGACCAGCCCTTCCAAGCTTTGCTCTTGGGTTTGACTTATTTCTGTGGCTTATTTCCATTCTGTTTTGCTTTTACTAGCTCTCTAATGTAATGTCCGTATTCTTGGCCTCCTGTTAAATGCTCAGGCCAGGTGCAGGAGGGAGAGAGAAGCTCTGTTAGATGCTAGAGGCAGAATTGTCATTTCTACCTAAGAGAACTTTTACGACTTAGACATGATCACAAGGTGGACAGACCAAAACCTGATGGCATTTAACAGGGAAAAGTGCAGGGAGCTCCACCTTGGGAGGAAGAACCAGCATCATACTTATAGGCTCAGCAGTGCTACACTTGCTAGCACCATGACTGAAAGAGACTTAGGGGTCTTGACTGACCACAAGATGAACATGAGTCACCAATGCAATGCCGTGGCTGGCAAAGCAAACCGAACTCTGACGTGCATCCACAACGCATCTCAAGCAAAACCAGGGACGTCATCTCCCTGCTCTACTCGGCCTTAGTGAGGCCGCAGCTGGAGTACTGTGTCCAGTTTTGGGCCCCCCACTTCAGGAGGGATGTGGATAAGCTTGACAGAGTCCGAAGGAGAGCCACCTGTATGATCAAAGGCCAAGAGAGCAAGTCTTACGAGGAGAAGCTGAGTGACATGGGACTCTTCAGCCTGGGGAAGAGAAGGCTCAGGGGGGACTTGGTGGCAGACTATCAGCATATAAAGGGGGTGCACCAAGATCTGGGAGAACATCTGTTCACCAGTGCCTCCCAAGAGATAACAAGGTCTAATGGTCACAAACTCCTGGAAGGCCGATTTAGATTGGACATAAGGAAAAACTCCTTTATAGTCTGAGTGTCCAGGGTCTGGAACAGACTACCCCCAGATCTGGTGCAAGCACCTACTCTAGACCCATTCAAAAGGCATTTGGATGCATATCTTGCTGGGATCATTTGACCTCAGCAGACTTCCTGCCTATGGCAGGGAGGCTGAACTCGATGATCTTGCGAGGTCCTTTCCAGCCCCTAATATCTATGAAATCTATGAAAATCTTTTCTCCTATGCCTGAAGAAGGGTACTTGTATCCAAAAGCTTGCAATTAAAGATTTTTTTTTGCAAAAATCTAGTTGGTCTAATAGAAGACCAGAGTTATATTAATCAGAACTCTACCACAAGTTCTGATTATTTTTTAATGTACTTCGCATGTGCCAGCCACCCTTTTCCAAGAGGCCCCAGGGCATTTTGCACCATCTCCCATTACATTCAGTGGGATATGGGCACTGAACTCCCTGAGACTCCTTAGAGAATTCTAAGTGAATAGGATGTAAGCTATAGGGTTCTCAACGCTTTGGGAAACTCAGGCTCTCTACTTAGGTACACAAAAGGGAATTTAAGGCTACACTTAGGCTGCTCTTTCTAAAGCTCTCAGCCTCCCTGCTTATAAACGAGCAGGGGGAAATGCAGAAGTCTGGAAGATTTTCAGGTTGAACAAAGTGACAACGCCTAAATTTCCCCTGCTGACTATGGGTTCACCTAGAAAGAAGTGCAGAGTGGGTTTGGGAAAGTGCTGTTCCCAAGAAGATCCGCTTTGTTTTTGCATCATGGAAGCATCTGGGGAGCAATCTACTACCTTGTACAATGAGTGAGACTGAAGGGAAGGGTCAGGAGGGATCTGATGAGGTGTAACAACAATGAGGGATGGGGGGCAGTTTTGAGAAGACAACCATCCCCAGACACCTGTCTATGCATAATCCATAGCACTCACTGTGGTGCAGTGCATTTCCAGGGGTAGCTGGGTTGTGGGTACTGATGGACAAGTCCCTCAAGACCTGCCCATGCTCCATACTTCTCCCACCTCTCTGCCTGACCCATCACTCACTGCAAGCAAAACACACCTTCTCCCTTCCTAACATCCTGCTTCATTTCCCCTAGGCTAGACTCATGTAGCCAGGGGACTAGAAAAATTAAACACAGACAGAATTTTATTTGAAAATTGATTAAACCTTTACACTCTCCTGTTTATTGCCAGCCTACTTGAACTCTGGCCCACAATAAATCAATCAGAGCTGGACGGACTGGCTCAGTACATCCCAGCTGCTGTGACTCTTCATTTGGCTGCCTTTCCAGGTCAGCAACAGAACGGCAAAGGAAAGGATTCCCTCACCCCACCTTGCTTTCACAAGAAGGAAATGCATCAGTGCTACCCCTATCCCTATATCATTTGATTTTTCCTTTGAGAAATCCTCAGGAAATACCCCACCATGCATGGTTAGGATGCATTCAATAGCAGTAACATTTCTCTCTCGCAAATTAGAGTACAACCTTCAATACGTCTCACAACCTTCAACCCAGGGGGCAGAGTTCAGACTCCATTTGCACTGCAGAGGTAGAAAAAGGGAGGCTCCTAGCAGTTAAGACAATGCACACTTCCTCCAGGCTCCCTGTTCACCTCATATCCCTGCCTCCCAGCCCGGGGCAGGGAGACTTCATATCTCCATCCGGAATCTGAGTGCTGAGCCCTTCACCTGCTCTTCATAGTGCCTGTTGAATCTCTCGTTCTGGGCCACCGTGAAATGATTCTTCCAGTCCCCTGAAATCCCTGGTGAGAAGAAAACAAATGACCAAATCAGCGTGCACTGCAGAGCTATTCTGCCCCCTGGCTGGCATCTGAGAACTGTCCTCTCCTTTCCCAGTAACACTTCCAAGGCCCCATGCTGAGCATTACAGCCTGTGTCCTGGAACAGCCAGCCAAAGTCCTGGAACAGCACTCTTGACACTTTGCTTGCAGAAACAGAAACAGCTTGAGGCTGCATATTTGCACATGTTTGGGGAAGGAGCTGGGAGAGATGCTGGCAGTGTTACATCTTCAGGGATGTGCCACATAGGTCATGTGCCTGGAACGGAGGTGTGCTATAGACCACCTGCCTTTGTGAGCCAGATCCATCTTTGTGAGCCACAAAGATGTCCTATCTGGCCCATGAAGGTCTGATCCAGCATGGAGGATCAGCAGCATAGAGCTGCTCTGTGCTGCCCATCCACTCCACAGAGCTCCCCTCTGCTGCAGAGCCTGCTGCTGCCCTGGATTTGCACTTACCCTCACTGCACAAAGATTGGAGATCAGTGGTGAAGACAAGCACAGACAGCTGGCTGCTCCCAAGGGTCAGGGACTTGCAGCCCTGAGCAAGGACTGGGTCACAAAGGGCATCCTGCGCTAGCAAAAGGTTGCCAACCCTGCTATAGACCAGCTCTTGCTACCACCCATGGTCTCAGGACTATGTGCATGCCACAAGGGCCACCTGAATAGATGCGGTAGCAAAGCAAGAAGCCTTAGCCCCAACTTCCCAATGTCTGAACTGAGCCCAAGGCAAAAAATTAGCTATGCCCTTGAGAGAGCAGGAGCAAGATCTTCAGCCTAGGAATTATATGGGCAGGCCTTCCTAGGATATTCCTCTAACTGCTGGTCCTATGGGCAGCCCCATCTTTAGCAGCTGGGCTTGGTTCATAGAGAAAGAATCTGGACACCAGGAATTCCTGTCCTGTGAAGGTGCATTAAAAAAATACTGTGTACAGCTATTCCCAACCCTGCTGTCACTCTACTGTTTCTTCTCTCCTGCAGCTCACCTTTCCTCATGAATGGAGATATACTGTGGTCCAGAGCCCAGTTGGGCATTGTTTCGTAGTTGACAGAGGGGTTCTTCTTCATCTCCTGGAATGAGGTGTGATGGAGGATTTTATTCACCACCTCCTCCTTCAGGTCCTTTCCCAGGAATTGAATTACCTTCTGTACCTCCCGCTTCGGGTCCTGCAAAGATAAGCAAACCAACCATCCGATGAGGAGGCATGCTGAAACACAACAGTTTAGGAGAGAGTTTAACTGTCTTTAAACCCCTTGCAGAATATGATGATGCTCTTTGGGTTCCATGTGTTGCCTGATCCAGAGACAAGAGGATTTAGATCAGGCCTTAGATTAGCTGAGTGTTTTGACTCTTAAGAATGCATCATGATAACCAGTGACTTGTCTCTCCTGTGAAAACCAGAGTGAGCAGGCAGGAAGGCACAGTAACTTCTACAGCTTGCAATGCAGTCTCAGCAAGATATTCCATTTGCCCAGATAGCTACTACACATCGTGCCAATACCACATGATATTTCTAACAGGGAAATGTGGGCTCATGGTGGGATGGAGGCAAGAGGAAACAAAACCAACATGTGTTCATAACAAATATGAAAATTAAGTTGAGGGTCAGAGCTGGTAACATCTTAGCTCAAGGGTCTCACCTGGATGCTGTTCCCTTTTGAAAAGCAGAGGTGTATACTCTTTTTTGCTATCAAGACCCTCTACCCTTCCCCCTCTTCTTTTAATCAGACAGAAGGAAGGGGGTTCATCCAACAAGACAATATCTAACCAGGGGTGGGCAAAATGCGGCCCGCAGGACAGATGCAGCCCACCAGCCCATTCTGTTCAGCCCGCAGGGCCCCTAAAAAATTTAGAAAATTAATATTTATCTGCCCCTGGCTGCCTGTCATGTGGCCCTCGATGGCTTGCCAAAACTTAATATGCGGCCCTCCGTCCAAAATAATTGCCCGCCCGTGATCTAAACCAACCGGACAGAATTAGAAGAAGCCAACCAATTCCTGCTGAACCATTTCCTACTCTTTTACTGGGGAACCTTGGAGCTGTGCTACATTTCTAGCACTAGATGGTGCTGCAGAAAGACAGAAATAGGACAATGCTTCCATATATGGAGCCAACAAGTACCATTTCTGTTAGTGGCTCTCAGGAAAACTCCAAACCGTGTTGTTGACCTAAGGTGAGACGAGCCTACAGCCTGCTGCAAAAGGAAAATGACCAGTGTGCCACTCTGGGATAGGGGTTTCCACATATCCAGCATACAGTCGTACTGCTAACTTTTCTGGTATAGTCTCTGCTCTTAGGAGTTAAGGAAGCGAGGTGTACAGTGGGCTGCTGTCTTTTGAGACAGTGCATTTACCAGATGTACCTTGCAGACTTCCCAGTGGTCTCTTGCAGCTTGTTGTGTCCCAGCCTGCTTCAACTAAAGTTATGCGCCTGTGCCAATCAGGACTATAGTAGAGGTGATATCTTTTCGTATTAGACCAACAACATTTTTGCAAAAAAGAAATGTGTAATAGAATACCCAATGTGTCTCTGAGCACTTTTGGGGTATGACCACATCATGCTGAGTAGTGAGGTGGAAAAATTGCTTCAACGGCTTCTTGAAGTGAATCCTTGAGTGGGATGATCTGTATGGATTTTGGAAAGAGGCAGACTGTGATGGTCAAGATGGGGTTTGTGGGAGGTGCCACAGCATTTGTTTGTGCTTTACACTCCCTCACCTCTTTCATGTCTTCATAGTACAGGAACAGGATATGGTGGTCCTTTGCTTTCTCCCACCAGCCTTTCACATGATCATACCAGGATCCATAAGCCACTAAATCCCAAGGGAAATAAGCAACATGGGAAGAGACATTTAGAGAGCGAGAAAGAGAGAAAGCACTAGCTCCAAAAGTCCCCCCTCTCCCTTCCCCCCAGCATGGATCTAGCGCCTGCATCCAGAGCAGTGTGGGGTCTAAAAGGTGTAAAAAGATTCAGTGGAATGGGACAAAGTTCCTTGCAGAGAGGCTGATTAAACACTGGGACCTCCTCTGAGGTGGTGGTGGGCTTGCCCTGGCTTTGAGCCCTCAAATCGAAGTGAGAGAGCTTTGCAAAATGGGCTTTAGTTCAGCTGCTGGATGTAAGGGGGAGAGGTCTGGATGGACAGAAAGGTCCCTCTGGTTTGGGAACTGGTGAATCTAGGTGATCCCTTGCTCCCGCTCTTCCTTCACAGAAAAGCATTTGCCTGCATTGTCCTCAACAGGCTCCTCTGCATTGCAATTTTTAGCGTGGCCTTAACAAGGATTTACAAACTGTTTATACACCAAGAAAGCAGTCCAGTGCAGGGGTTGGCAGGGTTTCCTGGCAGGGGACAGAATGACCCAGCTCAGGCCTGAGGCAATCGAGCACAGATTTGGCCACCTCTGCCACTTTTCCTTGTAGCCCAGCTGTGGCATGGCATGAGGAGACCCCCTCTGCTGAAGCCCTGGTTTCCTCACTAAGGTGCAAGGTGAGCAGAACCCCCCCCCCACCCCAGCCACCAAATGCTGCCTCATCCATAACACCACCAGCCAGATTCAAAGGCTCTGTAAGCCAGATCTAATCTGGAGGCTATCGGTGGCCAACCCGTGGTGTAGTGGGTTGGGATTCTGAGTTCTGGACCAGAAACTAAGGAGACACGGGGATTGATTGTGAGAGCCCTATCTGAATGTGGGCTCTAGTTATGGGTGTTATTTATTTTTCAATGGTACTTGGAGGCCCCCGTGCTACTTGGGACTGCACTGTGTTGGGTGCTGTGCATTCACAGCAGGAGAAGGTCTTTGCCTCAAGAGTTTTGCTTTATCCATGGTAGAGAAAAGAGAAAGGGAAACAACCACAGAGAGGCAGAGTGACTTGCCAAAGGTCTCAGTGAGAGACACTGAAGTAGAATCCAGTCCCGCTAGGTCCTAGTGCTGCTCCCCAGCCATCAGGCCATGCTACATGCTTCAGTGACCTGTCTTGCCCTCAGGAATTCCCATCCTACCAACCTGGATTGCCCAGAGAAGTCATAGTCTTTGTACCATTCCCAGCTTCATTGACAAGCCTGTGGGTTTCTGTCTCAGGGATGAAAAGAGTCTCTCTCAATTCTGTTCTGGGTAAGCTGCATCACACCCATTGCTGGGACCTCTCAGAACAGAGATGCTTATCTTCCAACCTGGAGGCCAGATCCAGCCTATGAAGCTCCCCAAAGGTCCATAAATCTGGCAGTGGGGGGTCTGCAGGAGTGTTAATTGCTGCTACCCTACTGCCAAATTTCTGGACCTGTAGGAAGCCCTGCAGGCCAGACAGCATGGCCCTGTGTGGTAGATTGTGCCAGCATGCACAGATGAGATAGTGTATGGCTGCATTTGGGCACACAAAGCTGGACCAGTGTGTGGCTTCAGCTGACCCTGCACAGGATCCTGCCTGAGGACTGGCCTCAGTGCTACTCTTCAGGCCCATGGAGCCAAAAGGTTCAGTACTACTGGCCCAAACTCTTCATTTACCATTCCCAGTCATGAATTTCTCCAGGAACTCATTCCAGGGGCCGGGATCAGGGTGCAGCTTTGCCATCTGGTAGAAGTAGTAATAAGAGACAGCCACATCCTTGGCATTTCGGGCAACATAGATCATCTGCAGGAAGTACAAGGGAAGGAAACACAGTGCAAATAAAAAAGGTGCCAAGGGCCTTTGACCTTCTGTGCTTCATAGGTCTGCCACTCTACATCCCCCATACAGCCCTGTGCTTGTTAAATATGCCCTTCTGAAGGGCCTGTCACTGGTGGTCACTAGGGGCAGGATGCCAGACAAGGTGGATGGACATGCAAGGGACAACCTACATGGCCACCTCTGTCCTGCAGTTCTGGAGCCTGTTACCTTGCAATTCTTTTCCCAAAAGGAGATGGGGAGGAGCTGAACCGGGACATGGGTCTTCACTAACCGAGGGGATGGCATCTTATCCAGCTGCTCTGTGCCTGGGAAACACACAAGGGGTTAAAGAGATTGCTGGGCATGGTGCGTGCAAATGCTCTGCCCTCGAATGGAAGTGAAACAGGCATTGCATGTTGCTGGCTGTCACAGGTGATGTGCAGATATGAGTAAGTGTTTACAAAGCTATGTGGCTGGCTGCCTTCTCATGTAATCCTGCCAAGCTCAAACCCTGCTAACTCACTGGCTGAAAGCCCTCAGCATTACCTTCACTCTCTTAAAGGCCTCCCAGAACTATTCCAGTTGCTGCTTGGGCTGGTCTGTCCCTGTGACGGCCAGAACCAGAGGGATTAATAAGCAATAAATATGTGCTTCTTAGAGGCATTTGGTATTTTGCCTAAACAGGTAATATTAGTTAATATAAAGCTTGTAAGTTTGTAAACTGCAGATGTAACTTGTCTGTCATAAGTTTAACCAAATGATAAAATTAACTGTTCGTGGAACTGACTGGGCCCCATAGGCAAAGCTGTAGCTATAAAATTATGTGACCTAACGGTTTTTTGCTCAGAGTTCAGCCTTGATGATAAAACTGGATCTAACTGCCAGGCACACCCAACACATTCCAGGAAAGCACGTCCCCAGAAAGCATATTCAAAAAGAAGCCTAAAAGGGGTTGGGG